GGAGCTGCGCGCGTTGCATTTCAACGCGGCTGCTGGAGTCAGCGCTGCCCGTCGTGCCAAAACATGCGATAAATACGCGGTAAAGTAGTTTTTAGCGCGCGGCGCGTTCGGCGCCTGTTGGAGATGCTCTAACTAAAGGTGTTGGGGTCGACAGTTGGGTGTTCTTTGGTAGCTCTCCGGTTCAGGTCGACAACCTCGGTCGGATCTCCTCCGTCTTCTCCTTCCTCCATGCCACTGGCCAGAGATTGGTCGACAAAGCCAAGCCCGCTGCGCGGAGGTGGAATGCGGAAGCTGCCACCAGAAGCCCACACGCCGGCAGATCGAGACCGGCACGGGATGAGCAGAGGCGGCGCGAATCTGCTTTTGGGTGCGGCGGTGTGATGCCAGCGAGAGGGCCCAGTCCCGAGGCTCGAGGCGCGTCCGGAGATTGGTGCTGCGGCAAGTTCGGCTGGCAACGATGGAGAGGCGAAACTTCGCGGCGTACTTGGAACTTGGAAGAGCGAGCGTCGGCGGCGCCGGAGGACTAGTCCGTCGACGCGCGCAACCAGCCGCAAGGTACCATCTCCTCGACGGGTGCGCCTAGCCGCATAGATTCTTCTTCTTCTTCTTCTTCTTCTTCTTCTTCAGTTAGTAAGTTATACAGGTGTTCAATACTTCAGTCGACTCAAATTCAGAGGCACTTCCCGAAAAACTGATTATGCTTACTCAAATTCGATCTTCGAAGCAAGGTAGTCAGAATCCCGACTCGATTGCTAGAATCCTACGACTTCACGACCCTACGGAAGCATGTCGATCCAAATCCCACTATGAATCCGGATCAGGTAGAATCCATGTTGAGTCACGATCCAAATCATAGAATCTTGTACAAAACTGTATAATCTCGACTACGCTATGGACTATGTCCGATTCTACTAATTTATCTAAGTCGTTTGTTTAGTTGTTGCAGAATAGTATGCCATCATCCAAAACACTTTTCATATACCTCATGGACCTTTATTCCCCTCCCAAGCCCAAACGCTCAGCCGCCGACACCTTTGATCTAGCTCTCAGAAATCCTAGATCGAAATTGAGTATCAGGCTTGTTGACAGATGGAAATGGTGTGAAAAGGAGGATGCTTCAAGATTGATTGGAGAAAAAGAGCAAGACCCTTCAAGGTTTAGCACTGCAGGCCAGATAGACAAGTGATCGACTATTCATGCACTTTAAAAAGAACCTAAGTACATTTCGTGCATTGAAGGTTAAATGCTCTCTATATATCCCTCTCATGTATGTTCCATACATGCGAGCTAGATGGTAGGTTGGCTATAAAAAGAAGTGGAATACAACTAGCATTGATGTGTACGTTCTTTGCTCCATATTTAATTAGTGTCAAAACTCTATAGAACCAATATAAATTTCTTGTGTCCATACAAAATATCTTATTTGAGTAAATCTAGTAGAATCCTCGATTCCACGACTCGACCTTACGACTCGATTCTGTCTGAGAAAAATCGATCTGACTCCGAATCCCGACTCTGACTACCTTGCTTCGAACCGGCTAAAAACGCCAGAAATATTAAGCAAGCTGTTATTGAGTACAGGGCATGGCCAGTACGAACAACTGGACTATGTATTCAATTCAGTCCAATTTCCAATTCTTTATTTTGTCATGTTCAGTTATAGGCAAAAACTAATTCATCAGAGTAAACACAATGATGTACTGATCCAGGATACAGTACTACTCCCTCCGTTCCAAAATAGATGACTCAACTTTATACTAACTTTAGTACAAAGTTAATACAAAGTTGAGTCATCTATTTTAGAACGGAGGGAGTAGGTAATAATTCTTTGGTTGGTAGTACTCCCTTCTCGCCGACTGTAAATTTATAGAATTTAAAAGGACAGCCTAAGAACTCCGGGTCTTTTGTTTTTGACACTTTGCTCCTGCATATCATGAGGCCATGCAGTAGCAGTACCCATACATATATTCAACCAGAAGGAATCAAACTGGTATAAACCCAGTGAGAACCTCCATGGAGAAAAATTGAACAGGGATGCATCAGCATAGACACCAGGAATGCGGTCCAAATTTAGTGTTACTATTCGGAGTTTACCACTTCGATCTTAGCATTCAGATTTCATTAGATCTTCCTTTTCTAAAATGAATATTTCATTTGGGTCTGAAGCAAACTGTAATATTTGTTTAAAAGAGCTGACCCATGAAATAGTTTTTTTTCCTACTCCATCGAGGCATCTCATCATATCGATGCTCTTGGTCTCCATTATTGTTCCCATTTTTATTTGTTAGGTCATCTGTCATACGTTTCGAGTTAAGTAATGAACTTGTTTCGAAGACTTGACCTACAAACTCCATTTGTTTTTAAGGCATAGGATGCATAGGCATGTCATCATAATGTTGCTCAAATCGTGTATAGGAAGGTACAGGCATCCCTCAAATAATGATGCACCAAAGTGTCATGGACCATCAATGCGAGCAAAAAGCAATCAACTGATCTAGTTGACTTTCCTGTCAACTGTCGAGCATAGGCGTCCTCCTCGCTCGCTCCATGTGATTTCTTCTTCCCTGCTGGCCGTGCCCTCTGTTCCAGCTGTTCTACCAGTTGGGAGGTCCTCACCACCACTCATATGCAAATGCAGGGGTGGAGCTACGTTGAGACCTGCAGGGGCCGTGGCCCCCCCAGGCTTTGTAAAAGATATGAAGAAACTATTTTTGAGCCTGCTTAGATTAGAGAAAATAGAGCTTTTGGCCCCCCCAAACATGAATAATTTGCGTTTGGCCCCCCTTGAAGATCTGTTCTAGCTCCGCCACTGTGCAAATGGTATGCAAACTTGTGTACGATATGCAGAATAGCATCCATCATCACAGGCCTAGCTCCTTTCTTATTCGCTCCTTGCATCTTCAACTCTCTTCATTTGCATTTCTCAGAACTTCTTGCTCGGGATGGTTAAGGGGAGAAGGTCAAAGAGACGGAGGTGCCCGGCGGCTAACCTCACCGATGATCTCATCGTTGAGATCCTCTCTCGCTTCCCTGCCAGATCGGTCTGCCGCTTCAAGTGCGTGTCCACAACATGGCAGGACCTCATCTCGCACCCCGTCAACCGTATGAAGCTTCCCCAGACCCTGGCTGGCTTCTTCACGAAGCACGATAGTGAAACTGTGGCATGGTCAGTTCCCCGCTTCACCAACGTCTCTGGCAGAGGCCTCCGATCGGTCTCCCCTTCACTTGACTTCCTGCCAGTCCACAAACGGATTTTTCTCTTGGACAGCTGCAATGGCCTTCTTCTCTGCAGGTGTTACGGAACCCAGTTTAGTACCGAGGAATGGGATTTGACAGATTACCATCAATTTGTGTGTAATCCCGCCACAAAGACTATGGGCACTTAATAGCCCCCTTGGTCATTGGTGAGGTGTATTCATCTGAAACAGGAGGATGGGTTCGTAAGGAGAATGAAATGGACAATGATTTTAGCTTTCCCCATAGGTTGCCAGCTGTCTTTTTCAACGGTTGTATGCATTATCTCACCAACAAGGCTTCTATAGCCGTGGTGGGAGTATTTAACCAAAAACTACCACAATTCACCGAACCGTGACGAAAAACTACCACTTTACGATTTTATCCTGAAAACTACCACTTTTTTGCTAATCTATGACTAAAAACTACCATGTGTGTAAATCAACAGATTCATCCATTTTAAACACGTTTATGATAGACCTGGCCCGCATGTAAGTGCTGCTAGCCGGCGCAGGGGGTGCGCAGCGGAGCTGCTGCTGCTCGCCGGCACGCGCGGGGAGGGGGGGCGTGCGCGGGGGGGCT